TGGGGCAAAAAGAATCACCTACTCTTAACAGGACTTCAGGTGTGTGATTTTCTGCCATTTTCCTTCTTTTATTAGATTAGAATGACTTACCCCAGTGAGAGCAAAGCTGCAATGCGGTGTCGTCAGGGCAGGGCTCCTGGAGGAGACACACCACGGTACACCATGTCTTTAACATAACTTGACACATTCTCACCACGCAGGAATTTTCACGTCTATTCCGACAGATGTAGGAGGGATAATAATTATTTTTTTCTCTCTTTCAGTCAGGTTCTTTTACCCACAGAATTCAAAGTTCACTAATTAAATAATATTTAAAAGCAATGCCTCTGAAAAAAATGAGACCAGGTTAAGAAAATGATAATATTTTTACTTCCAATTCTCTGCAGTTTGCTCCAGTCAGCCTAGCTAAATCTTTAGTGTTAACATAATTAGGTCTTGCAGAATAACGGCCCATTTTACCAGCTATCATTCCAGGTTAATAAAAACATCACATAATTTGAGATGTTACTACTCCATTTTAATTCAGTCATCAATTAAAAAGAGCTCTTGGGTGATGGGAGAAGGCAGAGAGGGGATTCCAGCATTTGTTAAATGCTCAACTATATTCTAAACAACTTAAAATCATTTAAATCTTCTTGGTAGACTTGTTTCAGAACTTACTCTAAAAACGTGTTGGGGTTAGAAATTTTTCTGCCATAGTGGATCTTGCTGCTGCTAAGTCACTTAACTGCATTTTTCAAGATTAATGTAAGTTTTTCACAGATGTTATTTTCTCCTTTCTAGTTAAATGTAATAACATTATTTATACAAGGGATGTGCCTGTTGCTTAGTTATTTTATTCTTCAGATGCAAGATGAAGATGGTAACATGTGTGAGTCACACCTTACCAGGTGTTGAAGAGTAAAAATTCTTCATGTTCCCAAGATTATTGGTAACAATCCAAAATATGATAGTTGGCATTCTTAATTCTTTCTGACATCATATTATGCTTATATACAGTTTATGCCGAGAATTCATTGGCAAATTTTTTGGTAACTAAAGAGAAAAACTATGTTTAGTGTAAAATATGAAAGTGTAGGTAAAAGTGAAAAATTCTTTCATATGGAAATGATCAGAACTGTCAGAATATTTGTGCCAAATGGACATTTGATATTTCTTGGAAAGAAAATTGATTAGAATCTAGTTCTGATTTCCTGAGGCAAAGAAAGAATTGTTCACAACCACACATTTGGATACAAACTCTAGGGGTGTTCCTTATCTATATTTCTCATTCCTCTATGCATGCCATTATGGCTGCCCAATTAGATTTTCTAAAAAACAAATCCTAGAGTTTTACTCAGTTATTCATATTGTTCTAAGATGCAGCTTAGTTGCTGCCACCATTGTCATCCTTATTGATAAAGGCTGAGAATCGAAACAGTGGGTATGAAATTCTAGATAAGATTTCTGAAGCTAAAGCTTTAAATTGTACATAAACAGAATTCAATGCATAACAAGTATATAGAACAGGTAGTTCAAAGTGCCCACACATTCTGTGTAACCCTGTGAGCAGATAAACTGTTCAATAAGTATCATATCTAGTATTTAACAACAGGTGAAGGGCAACAACCTATTTCCCACATAGCACAGAGCATCCCATCTCAGAATATGGGGTCCTGACTTCCCAATAATACTGGATAATTGATGGCAAAGAGTGAAGATGATGAGACAAAAATTCTGATTTCAGGGTTTCCTCACAGCTGCCCCCAGTCCATCCAAACCTTCCTGCATTCAATAAGACCACAGGTTGAAGGAAAAGGGAAGTGGAGCATTAATTATAGGAACTGAACTGTGACCAGTATGCCTTCTCCCACTGGCTTCCCAGGTGGTGCTAGTGGTAAAGAGCCTGCCTCCCAAAGCAGGAGATTCCGGTTCGATCTCTGGGTGGGAAAGATCCACTGGAGGAGGGCACAGCAACCCAGTCTAGTATTCTTGCTGAGAGAATCCCATGGACAGAGGAGCCTGGCAGACTACAGTCCATAGGATTGCAAAGAGTCAGGCACAACTGAAGTGGCTTAACACACATGTCTTCTCCCAACCTGCACTTGGGTGAATGATTTGTGCTGACTTGGTCATGTGACTCAAGGGCGCCTCATGCAGTGTTCATCTCCAGGCAGACCCCCCAGGCGGGGGCAGGAAACAGTACCAATGGAAGCCCACATACCATATTTCTAAATATTTAAAAATTACACCTCAAGCTAACATAGTGTTATTGAACCCTATGTTCCATCCTGTTGCTTTAACATGAATACTGTCATAACAATTGGAAACCCAGGTATAGGTCTGGAATATTCAGACTGCTCAGAGTTCTGTACCAGACCCTGGTCCTGAGATACCCTACTCTCTCTCCCACCCCTTAGTCCCTTTTTTTCTATCCCAGAGCTCTGGTTTTCACTGCAAGGAGCATCTTCTCACTCATGTGTGGACTCCCAGCATATACTCCGAGGCCCGTCACTAATCTATCTATAATACATATTCACCCTTTGCCTCCTCTTGTGCTCAAGGATGTACACTCATGGTGCTGCTTGCCTTCAGGAGTTTAGACCCCAGAAGTGTACACACCCTAAAAGTGGGTGGAGGACACATAGGTAGGGAATTCTAGGTTCCTGGCTATGAAGACAAAGAGGGGGAAGAGTCAGAATGGGCCCCACTAAGTAAGTGCCCCCTCTTCTAGGACTGAAACTGCCCCCCTTGGGTGTGTACAGGGTCAGAAACAAATCACTCCTACATCATCACAGGGCAGTCTAATTACTTTCCCAAAATACCAACACTTTATATACTTGAAAAGTGAAGAAATGTTAATTGCTCAGTCATGTCTGACTCTTTGCAACCCCATGCACTGTATAGCCTGCGAGGCTCCTCTGTCCATGGAATTCTCCAGGTAAGCATACTGGAATGGGTAGCCATTCCCTTCTCCAGGGGATCTTCCCAACCTAAGGATCGAACCTGGGTTTCTTGCATTGCAGGCAGATTCTTTACCATCTAAGCCACCAGGGAAGCCCTTTCTATATAGCAGAACCTTGGGACAAAGATTTCTTTGAAGTTTTATATTCATCAAAGAAGTTGATGGAAGAAATTGTGTTTGTACTTTGTGGTAAAGTTGACTGACTAACTCATATATAACACTATATTAACGAACCCTAAGGGTTAATCCAAGTAAAGACCAAGCAAGAATTAGGGCCTTAAATATGTGAACAATTTAGTTCCCACTTTTTACCCCAATCCTGTACCTTAGGCATAACATTGTAGATGGAACCAGCTTTGCAAGAACGCTAGAAAACAGCAGATAAAATCCACCGAGTTGGGGTTTAATCAAAGTAATATACTCTTTAGAAGAATTTGAAAATCCAGATTAAAAAGAACATTTCATTTCCATTTGTTATATACCTAAAAGTGAATTTATTAAAAGCAGATCACATCACTTCAGGAAATTCAGGAAACTATATCTAAATACACTGAACGCAAGATATTCCTCATCAATTTAGATTCTTATAGCGTCATAAAGATAAAATGCAGATGAATAGATTTAGATCAGGCCTTCATTAAATTTTAGAATTAGCTTTTGGAAAACTGTGTATTGAAATGTTCAGTCTGATTCCTGAGCAGGTGACAAAGCCACGAGTGGATAATGATAAAGTGCATCGCTGCTGGAAATAACATAGTCTGCCTTTGGTTTGTGCTAATAAACTATAAGACAACTTAAACTTCAATTTTAATATTAGAAATCCACCTCATTATAAGTAATCCCAAACTCTATATGTTATCAGCATTTTCATGTGTAGTCTTTGGTGAGCTTGAAATACAATTTGCTGTTTATGCTTCTAATGTAAATCTCCAATTTCTGGTTGGCCACTCCGGCACTAAGCCAGAGCTCTAATTTATTTCCATCTTTCCTTATTTCTTACATCAAAAGAGACTGTGGGTTTGAATAACAAACATTCAATCGACTTAGACGTGGGGTGGCAGGCAGCACAGGCATTACCTGTTTACCTTTTATTGCCTTCTTTGAATTGGCTTTTCTGGGAACAAAACCAGTAAGACATGCTGTTCCTTCATCTAGTTTTTGCCGAGGATATTTATCAGAAGACATCCCCCTCCCCCAGTTCAGCAAGGAGCAGTGGCAGGGTGAAGAATTCAAACTGGAAGTAGGCGTCCAACCTAACACCATCATAGATTATTGTTCTACCAAGTCATGCAGGACTTCACTGTCCTTCAGACTCTGGCTTGGGCTGATAATTGTTTTTGACTCCAGGAGATGCTGTCGCTAACACATTTGCAACCTGTAGGACAACAGTGTGGTGGGAATGGAATACACACTGTTTTAGTCACTTTGGAACTTTGCACTGGTTCTTCCCTCCTCTCCCCAACTTGCTGTCTTGCACAGTAATTGGCCTAATAAAAGGCAGAAACAAGAATTTATTACACCTTGGGTGGTACTTAAAACAAACTTTATTCTCAGGAACAGCAGTTATGTCTAGTTGCTGCTGGGTATTTTGATATTTCCCGTAAATACTTAGTCTGAATATATTCAAAGTCAAATTGCTAATCACTCAATTTCCCTGCGACTTTCCTGGTTCCCCAGGTTTTCTCTTATGATACTCCATGTAAACACTGTAATTGGAAAGATACATAGATCAGCATCCCTAGAGTCACATGATCACATCAATCTGTGAAAATAGCATGACTTAAAAATAAAAGTCTCTTAGTACTCTGCCAACAGGCTTTGGCATAATCTTGGCAATCACTTAATTTTTTTTTTTTTGCTGTTATAATTTTTCCCAAGTGGAAATAGTCTCATATTTTGCAGACGTTGTCCAAGCTAGTGAACATCAATCCATCTTCCTGGGCACTAAATTCGTCAGCTGAGTGTATTCGGTCCACACAGGAATCAGTAAAGTGAGTGTGAAATGCTCGGTGGCTGCTCCTTTCATCTTAAGAAACTGCAATACAAATTCCTGAAATCGTTTATGCAGGAATTTTTATTCTTTAAATCTTCCAGTGTTAAAGCAACAAGAAAACACTTAGAATGTCCTTTGGTGGAATCTTATTACACTTGTTAATATATGTAAACTGATATTCTTTGATGCCAGCAAGTTCGTTGCCCTTACAGAGAAATCTCTGCACAATGAAACAAAACAGAATGAAGGAGGACAAAATAAAATGTCAGTCTCTGCTGATTCGAATTAGATACATTAACAGATTGTCTGGTAACACAAATTGGCAAGAATACAAAAAATCTACATATTACAGTATTCCAAGAAAAATAACTTCATTTGAATACAAAAGGATAGATACACTTTCTTTTTTCCTGTAGCCACTCTTGGGGACAGGGGATGTGTGCTTGCACTGGGATGACTCAGTGCTGCTAAGATACACAGGGTATGACTGGCTGGAGCTTTTGGAGGGGGCTGTTACACGTGTGCATTACTAACATCAGACAAAGAAATCTTTCAACCAACAAGGGTTACAGAGCAACGGTTCACTAAAGCACAGGTTGGAAGGGGGTTCTGGGGCTGAAGCAGGCCAATATGGCAGCTTGTAACAGACTTCCTTAGACCCACGACGCACTGCCAGCAAAGGATGCTTCTATTTGGTTGGTCCACACACAGGGCCGGGTGGTGCTGGGGCACGCCACGTGCCTGTAGCAAATGTTTTTCGGTTGGTTGATTTGCTGTTGTTGTTGTTTTTCTTTCCTTTTGGGGGGCTGTCACAGCCTTTCCGACGGGTGGTAAGCTCTGCAGCTGGCAATGTGATTCCCAGTGATAATATCAACAGCTGCCAACTCCTCTGGGAGTCAGAAATTAACAGTCTTGACTCAGGTGTGCTGTCCACGGCTGATAAATATGGCTTAGTTCAGTTAGGCCTTCTTTGTACACTGTGTTTGAGTGGGGGCGTCTGAGGGCGGGTTTCCTATGTCAGCAGCAAACGCTGGGGCTGTGTTTGCTCCCCGGAGCACGGCCCGTCTGGTGGCTGGGTGCGCCGCCTAGATGCCCAGGGGGCCGGCTGCCCCCAGCAGAGCGGCCAGCAGCGCCAGCAGCGCGCGGGAGCCGCGCGGGGGCGCGCCCTGGCCGGAGTCGGCGCTGCAGCTGCCCGCCTCCTCGCAACGCAGCTTCTCGCAGAGGATGCCCGTGTACGCGGCTGGGCACAGGCAGCGCACGTTGTTGTGGCACGTCCCTCCGTTCTGGCAGTGCAGGAGCTCGTTGTCGCAGACATTCGCTGCAGAACGAGGGAGGGGGGCGCGGGGAGGAGAAGCAGAATCAATTTAAGTTCATCTGGTACATCATGTTTTCAGCTTAAAAAAAAAATCTCTATCGATCTTGTGCTCCCCCCTCCCCTCCGCACACTAAGCATGTGACTCCGATTTCCAAACAAATGTAGTTTGCTGCCTTTGTTTTGATCATATTAATCCTTTTCATATAGATTTTTTTTGGCTGCAATCTTGGATATTATCATTGTCCATTTCAGATTATCAAGTACAAAGAAATGTGATACTCCGGGATTGGCAGTATCTTCTCTTCACGGAACTGGGACCTGTTGTGACCTCCAGGGCTGTTCAAGGATGGTGCCTCATACAAGAAAGCAGGGCTTTGGAGCCAGATGAATGGAATTAAAATGCAAAGCAGTACTGCTAGAATGACCAAGAACTTCTAAGGGGTGGGCCATTCTCTTTGCGGGTGATTCCAGCGCTGCATGCAGGAAGTCGGGAGCCTGCGGCTAGCATGAGCTGGGAGGGGTGGGGCAGGGGGCAGGCAGCATGCTCCAGGCAAGGTGGCAGCCAGATTCGAGGAGAGAAAGCTTTTCAAGGGAGAAGTGTGAGGAAGCGCAGTGCATTTGTGCCTAATAGCCTATTAGGATATTTATCGCTTTGTAAATATAGCAAGTAGAGTCCAAGATTACCCTGATTTCCAGGGATAATAATAAATGCAATGGTGAAACCCTGATTATCAAAATTTCACTATGTCCATCAATTAATGAAATCAGTCTGAATAAATAAAGCAAGTAATTTCAGATATGAAAATTCATTCACAGTCCCTGTCATGTAACTTGCATCTCTAATAATTTATTTCTTCAAAGATCAAGTTTTTCTTATTATTCCATGTCTCCTATTCCTTTAGATAATCAAGGTTTCACTGATTTAGCAGAATGATAAATAGAACACAGGGAAATGAAAACAACACCAAAGAGGAAAAGAGCTAAGAACACTTCCCAGCAACATTTACCACTTAAGCACTTACTATATAGAACAACTCTGGAATGGGGAGGGGGGTGGTGCAGAGCAGAAAAAGTAGCTTCTTATAAATTATACCATTCTTCATCTTTAAAAAATGTCATAGTCAGATTTCCCCAATTTAACACAGACGCATATTCATACTATCAAGTGTAAAGTATTTAAAAAATATAACCCTCTTCTCCTAGTCATAATTCAATAGAGACTATTGCCTTGTCCATTAATCATGTTCAATAGTTATGTCACCTTCAAAAGAAGCTTCTTAAATGTAAACATGCTAATGCTCTATGTGCAAATGAGCTGAGAAAAGATGGTGGTGGATGCTCAAGAGTTAATAAAAATGTGCCCTAAATAGGGCCCTATCTTCCCACCTTCCACAACAATTCCTTGGAAACCTCTATCATAGTTGTATAATGGATTGGTATAATTTTCAAGTGTACCCCCACCTGCTATCTGTAAATGTTAGAAGTGACTATTAAGGCCTACTAAATCCTTCAGGCTCAAAATATTGATATACAAGGTAGTGTTTCAAGGGTTCTAATGAGTATGTAAGCTACATCTCATAGGGTGACTTAGAAACCGTAAATATTAGATCCAAATTATAGTATTTTATGAGTCTTGGTTAAAAAAAAAGTCAAGATCTGTAGCTTTGAGGCAAAATCTACAAGAGTAGAGTGGTTAAACTCATGGTCAAAACTGACAAAACCCCCTTTTTTTTTTTCGTTGTTGTTAATTTGGAAAGCATACATAGGGTTTCAGGATTTTGTTTTGCTTACATTTCAGGAAATATCTGTTTAATTGGGGCAACATGGAATAAACAGATCCAAATAACTGTTTCCATTTAAAGTTAAAGATTCTCAGCATTTCTTGTTCCAGGCAGCAGATTGCTGAATGGGATTATTTCCTTTCATTTGGGCACTACACATAGGGAAATATTGTTTCCATCAATATTGATAATTGCTTGCCTTGAATAATTGAGAAGAAATCAATAGTTAATTAAATATCACTCCCTGTAAGAAAAAAAAAGCTATTTTTCTTCTTCTTGGACCTGAATGTAAATCAGTTGTTGAACAGAGGTTTCTTTTTTTCAAGAATCTGGTGATTAAGTTAAAATTCAATACCTTTCCTACATTTAAATAATCTACTAGTTGATGTTGATGATTGTGAGAAATTTAATAACTACTCAAGGACCAGATGTAACCCAGGATTAATATTCACATTAATTGGAGTAATATGTTTTCTATAAGTGATAAGGAGAAAAAATGGAACCTGGCATATATTTAATTACTTTAGAATTTACTTTAAGACACATTTCATTTGGTCTCTTGTTTGTGCTATTCAGCAAACACAGAGCTTTACCAAATGCACAGATCTCTCTGTTGGAATCACGTGTTAGAAGCACATCTAAACCTAACTACAAATGTCACCTGCTATTCATAAACTTACGCTCCATCTTCATGTCATTTTAAACCAAATTTGTGGTGCCTAATGAATAAACTAAGTAGTTAACAAATATCATTAAGCTCTTCTTCATCATATAAAACCCTGTACTAAACACCATAAAAAAATAAAAGAAATAGAAAGGATGATCTCTGCTCTTACAAAGTTTAAATCTGGTTGGGAAAATAAAATATATATACAAAAAATACTATAATATAAATTTCATTAAAATGCTTTTATCAGTTCTGTCCATCTCAATCAGCATCTGTTGCATGTCAGGTGTGCTGCTAAATCTACTGCGGTATGGTTATAACTCTGTCTGCCCTAAAGGAGTTCACAGTTTTGCGGAAAACAAACAAATGAATATATACAGAAATAATTATGATATAATATGAAAAAAACTATAACGGAAGCAAAATGCTAGGGGAACTCAAATGCTGGTGTAAGTAATCATCTGGGGGAAGATTTGAGAAGAATATAGAAAGGAGATTGTATTTGAACAATGGCATGCATCAGGCAAATATTGGTAGAAAAACATTGTGGTTGGGGAAACTATCAGTAAAGGCAAGAAGATGTGAAAATACTTTGTGCTGACTGTTAAGCATTTGTCACTCAAGTCTAAATCCGCCCTTTCTTCTGATGTTGAGGCTGAAACGCTGCAAATTTTCTCCTGGTTTCCACCAACAGGGTGCACTAGAGAGAACAGAGAAGGAAGGAGGAAGGAAGCAGAGATTTCCCTTTCCCTGATTCAGGGCTCTTCCTAAGAGTATTGTCCCAACAATGGCCCCACATCCCAATAGCAGCAGTTTGTTCTGGGGCTCAGCCTTTTCAGAACCAGTTTCAGTCTCTCAGAGACTGAAAATCCTTAGAGGTTTCTGCACCAGCCTGGCAGCATCCCTTCTCTAGAGGTGTGAGTCCCAGCTCCAAGGGGCTCCTGCCTAACATTTCAGGGGTAATAGTAGCAGCCAGGCATTACCTCTAAGAGGCATGGGTCCCACATCTGTGGGGTCTCTCCTCCAAACTGTTAGTTTCTAATAACCCCATCCTCTTTTACTGCTCCCTGCTCACACAATTGATAATTTCTGAGTTATTTCAGTGTCTTCTTCTCATGTCTAAATTCTAAAGCACCTGTTTAACCATTTCCTTTCGTAAATTCTCTCTACTGAAATACACAGTATGGGTTCACTTTTCTGACTGGAGCCTGAGAGACACATGGAAAACGTTGGTGAATGATGAAGATTCTGTGTAACATGCTACAGAGTTTAGATAATAAGCAATGGGAAGCTGTCAAAGACCTATGGGCAGGACGGTGATTTTAAGGGGGGAAAAGGTGAGGCTAGACCTGAGAAAGGACAGGCTGGAGGCAAGGTGACCAGATACTTCAACAGAATAGGCGTGGTACAGGTTACAGCAATGGGGAGGAGGAAGGAATAACATATTTGGAGGCAGGTTATTTGAAATAGGTAAGAGAAAGTCTGAGGTTCCTCTTTTTGACATTTGGACACATCATAATGTAGTTTATTAAGAAAAGACTAGAGGCAGGGTTTGGTTAGGGAAGAAAATAAACTTTTTTTTTTTTTTTTTTGTTGACTTAGAGGGATCACAGGCTCTTCTGCAGGGGTCTTGTTATTAGTTGGAAAAAACTAGTTAACAGCTCAGGAGGTAGTTCTTCCTGGAGATACAGATTTGGAACAGGGGTGATGGTGGTCATTGTTACAAATAGTGAAGAGAAAGGAATAGAAGACCTCATCTGCTAGAATATAGATTAAGTTGAAAGGAAAACTGCAAACAGAACCCTGAAGAATATCCTCATTTAAGCCATAGGCAAAGAAAGAAAAACCAGGAATGATGCTGAGAAAAAAAGATCTCAACAAAATGCAGTGATGATATGAGGTTATAAAATTAATCACAAAAGTCTTCCTGCTGTGGTTAGCTGGATCTAGGAATAGACTGGAAGAGTATAAGAGGAAGGGCACTTTGAGCTGGGGGTAAAGGAAATATGCAAAGTAAGCCCTGCATGCTCTTGATTGAATCTGACAGAAGGGATTTTAGAATAATTAGAAAAAGGATTGGAGGAATTTGAGGAATTAACGTTTAATAGAGGTCTTTGGTTGTCAGTCTAAGTAGTAGCTTTCAACAGTGGATGATTTTTTTCCCCCCATGGGACATCTGACAACATCTGGAGATGTGTTTGGGTGTCACATCTTGGGGGAGGGCATGGTGCTGGCATCTCATGGGTAGAGATACTACTAAATATCCTTCAATAAACAGGGTCGCCCCCTCTCCCACCCAAACAAAGAATTACTCCTCAATTAATATTGGTGATGAAATGTTGAAGGTCTGGATCAGGTTAACAGCCACAGCAATGAGGATGGGCAGTTGTCCTTACACACGCTGGGGGAAGGAAAATGAAGATTCCTTAGTGATTTTAGATCAGAGAGAGCAAGCTTTCAGGTGCAGAACCATAGGAACTAAGATGCCTGTAGCACTCAGAACGGAAGTATGAGCAGATTATCTTCCTGGGGGAGTTAAATACAAACGACGAATA